AAGATGGGCTAACAATGGGTTGTAACCCAACCCGCCCAAATTGATCCAAATCTTTGCAATATTCTCAACTTTTAAATAAACATATATAAAAATTATCATACATTTTGGAATAAATATCAATTCATGCCAAATGATTTCTTTCCTCAATTTAGATTTAGAATTTTATTTGATAGTTCTTTATCTTATAATAATAACAAATATCAGAATAATAAAAAGTAACAACATTAGAACTTTCCAACCACCCCAATCCACCTCCCATCACCCCAACCCCCACCCCAACCTAAATAAAAATATTATTTAGAGTACTTTATTTTAATATTATAGATAGAGTATTTTCTTTTTCAGTTCAACAAAATAAATATTTTTTTAGATGTAGAAAAATTATTTTCTTTCATTTCAATAAAATAAGTACTTTCTTTTCATGAAGTCGAAAAAGTATTTTCTTTTATTTCAACAAAAAGAATATTTTCTTTTCATGTTGTAGAAAAAATATTTTCTTTCATTTCAATAAATTGAGTACTTTCTTTATTTTATTGTGATACCTAAAAAATAGCTCAGTACCGTCCTTTATTTTATTGATATAAATTTTATTTGTTGCTTTTTTCTGTTGTGATAATGTGTTTCTCTTTATTTTCAGATTTTTTCATGTTTGATGATTATTTTTGTCAATAACAATTAGTTAAATAAATCAATCGACATCATGAAAAGAAAGTACTTATTTTGTTGAAATAAAATAAAATACTTTTTCTACGTCATGAAAAAGAAATACTNGTGAGGTGGGGGTAGGGATTGGGTGGGGGTTAGTGAAGATGGGGAAGGTTGAAAAAATAAATTGGAAAATATTCTCTTCTGTTGATACGGAAAATATTTTTCACCAAGTGGAGAAAAACGAATTCATAAAGAAAATATTTTTCAAACATTTGAACCAACCAAACATGAAAAAATTAGAAAATATTTTTCAGAACATGGGTCAAGGTAGAACTTTAAGATTGAGCATTTTCACGAGTCAAGTTTGGGCATCATCATGGGTCCATTCGGGCTGATGATTTTTGATGTGTTAACTTGGGCTAGCCCAAAATAGTCCATCTTCAAAACTGTTCCAGCCCAGACCCATTAAAACTTAAACGGGTTAAGCGGGTCAAATGGGTTTGGGTTAGTTTTGTCACCCCTAATTTCAAGTCTCAACCAGAAACTAGAATACAACAAGTCTAAAATACAATTCATGATGATACATTATAGCTAAAACCTGCAGCAACGAAAATGAAGCTCTCATACTGTTTTTGTTGGTTGTTACTGGCTTTGGATAGAAATATAAATATAATAGTTCTTTAACGGATTAACGGTTTATCTGATAAGAAAATTGAATAATGTTCCGTACTAATAAACCGTTACTACAAAATTTCAATCCATTTACCAACCATTAATCTGATAACATAATGCAAATAAGTCAATTTTGCGATTGAGTTATCGATTATGGTTCGATTTTGAACAACCTTGATCAGGCCTTTCTTAGGATCCCCGAATAGCAAGAGCTTTTGTACCCCATCTCTTTCTTTTTTTCTATTTTGTGTTATAAACCAAATGTTGTATTAATTATCTATTATAGGGAATTTTATGAAGAGATTATTTTTTCTTATAGCCAATGAATTAATTAGGTATATACTCCTTATGTTTTATTTTATGTGGCATTATTTTCTTTTTAGTATGTTTCAGAAAGAATGGTCTTTATATATTTAGAAATAATTTAATTTAAAATTTTTATTTTATGCGTAATGACATGATTTTATATTTAAAAATATGTTATTGGATTGTTAAGATCACAAGTTCCAAAAATTTTATAGTCAGAGAATATCATGACATATTAAAGATCACAAGTACTAAAAGTCTTTCTTTCTTTTGAATCCATGGTCAGTCAAACATATCTATATATATACTATATTAAAAGCACGAAGGCCTTTAACGGAATATCGTTCACCTTTTTTACCCTTTTAAAATAGAGTTCATACTAGACAAAATAGTCATTAGATTATTCTCCTAGCTAATATTTAAGAGTTTTAAATTAAATCAGATTTATTACTTATTAAATTTTCCTTATTTGAATTAAGTAAGAAGTCCTTATAATTAGGACTTTAAAATCATTAAAGTTTTACCTTATATAAATTTAATAATTAAAGTATGATTAAATAACGCGTATGAATGAAGGCCCTTAGCGAAATATCGTTCGCTCTTTTTATCCTTTTAAATAAGAGTTCACATTGGATAAAATGATTGTTTGATTATTTTTTAAATATTTAGAAATAGTTTTTTAATTATTTTTTCTAATATTTAGGCGTTTGAAATTAATTAGATTTAATATGTTAAATTTTCTCTAATTTTCACTATGTGATATACCATATTTGTAAGGAAAAGTAACAATAAAAAAATCAAAGTAGGAAAACTTAGAATTCCTTTTAGTTTAGGAGTCTTTGTTCTTTATTATAAATTCTAACCGATTAACACAAATAACTCCACCCTATTATTCCCACAAAAACTAATATGCAAGGAACGCAGTCACTTGTATTTGACTGTGCTTATGTGTATAATTCTAAATTTTATTATTCATATTAGAAACTTTGGTTTGGTTGACTACACAAATTACGAAGACATAAAGTTTGTTGTAAATTTCTAATTATCTGTCTCACGATTTTATTAGTTTTAAACATTTATCTACGTTGATATGCACTTTTATCATTGAGGAGTCCAACTCATACTTGCAAGGTTAAATTTCCCAAAACTTTAGTTATTGGGTTCATTCTTTTGGAGCATGGTTATTTGCCTCCAGCTTAGTTAGTTGGAATTGGTTTCTAACTTCCAGTGACAAAGGCAAGAACCCTATACTGTAATATTAAGGATGTTGGGAAGTTTTAATATTTTTGAATTTTAAATCAAGAATTTATAAAAAAACTCCCTTGCCCAAGATTTAGGGGTTTAAAATTAACTAAAATTTTATAGACAATTTTGTAATAGAATATCACTGAATAATCATGTTTGCAAAGGAATCTCTTTACTAAATAAATTTGAGAAGTGGATTATATATTTTATACAAATATATTTAACAGTTCTTTGACTCAAAAGCAAATCAGACTAGACAATGATGAGGAAGGGACGGGGAAGATGGAAAAGATGATTTTCATTAATGATACCAAATTTAACTCTGACAACAAAAGAAAATTTTATTTTCTAGCAACTTTACATTATTTGTTCATAAATTATGGAAGGCCAACGTAGTATTGATGAGTTTGTTAGGAGACTTAAAGAAAGTTATGGTAGAAATTTCATGCATGAAATTGCGGAAGAGAGGATATAACATATGTACCACATGCCTATAAATTGATTTTTTGTGACTTTTCGTCCTTTTTCCCTTTATATTTCGAAAAATAATATTTAGAAATTTTTATTAATATTTTCTACCTATATTACATTGGCTAAATCACAAAAAAAAATGAATAAATTATTCTAAGAATCAAGCAGTATGCCTATTGGTTAAAAAGTTCTCATCCAAATAGTTGTAGTGTGTGATAGGTCTATTACCTGTTTATTTTCTTTACTATTTCATTTTCCTTGAGATAACCAAATTTTTTTGAAACATGCAATGCTTCATTTTTTATTTATTTATTACATTGGGGGTAGGAGAAGGGAAATGGGAAGCGGATTATAAATGTCACGACCCTAAATTCCCTCCGTAGGAGATCATGATGGCACATAATCTCTAAGATTAGGTAAGCCTATCAATGCGGAATAATAATAAATATCTGAAATAAATAAACTACAATTCAAACAATTTCAACTCCCAAAACTCGGTAGAAATAAGTCACAGGCTTCTAAGAATTTATTCTCCATGTCTCTATACATCAGAGTCTAAAACAAATAAGGAAGACAACATAGTAAGATAGAAGGGGACTCCAGAGTCTGTGGACGCTGGCAGATATGCCTCGAAATCTCCTCGTACAGTTAGTTTACTGATGTCTGGTCTGATAAGATGTACCTGGATCTGCACAAAAAGATATGTAGAAGCCTAGTATGAGTACACCGCAGCGGTACCCAGTAAGTGCCAAGCCTAACCTCGGTAGAGTAGTGACGAGGTCAGGTAAGGCCCTACTGGAGAATAAATAATAACATGGTAAAATATTTAAATAATATAATAAGATAAAATGACAATGGAAATGCATCAAGTAGTATATCACATTTAATTACACCAAATAATGGCAATTAATATCTCGTGAAAACAAAATAAAATTTCCTTTCAACTTCAAGAAAATCACAACAAATAATCAAAGGCAACTGCGGTCATAAATCAATATCAACAAGGGCACTCCCGAGGTACCACCTCGTAGTCCCAAATCATAAATAAATTCACAATATCTCATTTTCTTATCTCACCGTGGGAGCCTTCATAATTTATTTTAAAAAAAATAGTTTTTCCGAAATAGCATCTCGCGTTTTAGCCATCCTTATTACACCGCATGACTTCTAGTAGTTCTCCCTACTAGCCACACGTATAAATCCACCCTTATCTCACCGCATGCGTTTCAATACCCAGACCTTATACCACTGCATGCGTATCAATATCACAATATATCACAATTTGCACCTCAAGTGCTCAAATAATTTAACTTGCCAAAATAATTCAACAACAATATTTTTCCACAATAAAGAGCTCACGGCTCCATCACAATGAGTACAAAAATATTTAGGAATAAATAATTCAGCAAAATAATATTTCAATGCCTTTAATACGTTACTTCAATACCAAATTTAAAAATGTCAAATACTTTATATTAATAATATTTAATTTAAAGAAAATTAACTTTAATTAATGCACAGAATAAAAGAAACCAAGTTCCAACTAAACAGATAAAATAATCAACATGAAAAGGTCGAGCAAATTTAAAATATAAACATTAAATCAATAATGAAGAATATAACAAAATAAAATAATTTAATTTATGCGCAACAATGATCTACTGGTGAAGTACCCGTTCCGTGGCATGATGCTCCACAATATCGAGGCACATCAGCGGGACGGAAGTGCTCCAAATCAGTCGGCCGGCCGAGCAATAATCAGGCAGGCCACCTATCAAGTCGTCGTTGTATGGCGTCCAGATGAACTATCAAATAACAACAGAAAACGTGAGTATGCGCAACACATGTGAAGCTATACCAAGTAAGTTTAGGTACACATTTACCTATGCGCCCTCCATCATATCAACACATCCCTGTAAAGGGGGAGATTATGTCGATCCTCGTAATCTCGTACATATCCACGCCGGAGAACCCACCTCCTAGCTAGAGGGAGAAACGGAGGTGGTATATCCGGAGGTAATGGTGGTAGAGGTGGCTGCAACTGCAGGAACCGCTCCCAGGCCCAAACCTAACATACAAAGTTGACGTAAAGTTTAAGATAAATTTTGACTAGATAGAATTGGAAGGAATGAACAGAGCATTCGAATATGTTGTCACTTGTAGAAGCGGTAAAAATCCACATACGTCATGCTGGGTGCTCATGCTCGCCCGACACAGATGCATGTACAAGTAGGCGAGAACAACAGCACCCTAACTATACTGAGGTAAATCATCTAGCAGCTGAAGATGATGAAGAAATCTCAAGCTGACTAGGTTCCCCCGAAGTGTTCGGGAACAAGACCCCCCCTCCCCCCAAACAGAAAGAGCAGAAGCAACCCCGTATACCGGTGAATATGCAAATCATCTGTCTCGTCGGTGATGTCGGGGTGCAATATCTCCAAATGATGTCGAATAGCTGTCAAACTCATGCGACTGGCCCCTAAGTGTGCAGTCTCATCCTGTGGCCTGAAACCAGTGAGTTGCTGCAGCATGTCCAAATACTGCCCACGCGTCATCTCTCTCATGGCCTGAGGCAGTGCAACGGGCAGTCCATCAACAGGCATCCCATATAAAACCTCCACGTCCTGCAGCGTGATGGTGGTCTCGCCAATAGGCAGTTGAAAAGTGTGTGTCTCCGGTCGCCACCGCTCTATCAGGGCTGTGATCAAAGACCAGTCGAGCTGCAGCCGCCCGATCTCCAAAATCCTGTAGAAGCCCGTATCCCGCAGGCGCTGGACTACACGGGGATGGAGATCTTTGTCCTTCATAAAATCCCACATGTCGTCCACTCTCCTGGCGCAGAGAGTCTGGGCCAGTAACTCTCCCTCCCATACGTAGGCGGACCTATGATCGCCCTGTAACACTAATAGCTCATCGGAGACAGGTCCGGGATGCATAGGCGATACGTCCATGTCGTCTACTATAAATTAAACAACATTAATTGTATGTTTGATTTGTAAATTAAACAATTATTTTTTATAATTATACAATATTTAATTGGACAGGGTATATATCTATGGGTTCCAGGCTCGACATTTGAGGCCCAGTAGCACCAAGCTATCCTGAGTTCTTGTATGTGTCAATTTTATTAGTTTCGTAATTTTGTATGCTTGATCTAAATTAAATAATTATTTTTAATAATTATATAATATTTAATTAGACAAAGTATATACATATGGGTTCCATGCTCGATATTTGAGACCAGTAGCACCAAGCTATCCTGAATTCTTATGTGTGTCAATTTTAATATTTTCATAATTTTGTATGTTTGTTTTGTAAATTAAATAATTAATTTTTATCATATTTAATTGGACAGAGTATATACCTATGGGTTCCAGGCTCGATATTTGAGGCTCAGTAGCACCAAGCTATCCTGAATTCTTATGTGTGTCAATTTTAATATTTTCATAATTTTGTATGTTTGTTTTATAAATTAAATAATTATTTTTTTAAAATTGGACAGAGTTTGTGTTTGATCTATCAGTATAAAAGATACTTAAACTACAGGGATTCTACGCTAAAAGGCTCTACATTTTACTACGCTAAAAGGGCACTAGTCTTTAAGCAAATAAATAATCTAAACTAGATAAAAATAACAAATACATTTTAATCACAAAATATTCACTAAAATACATATAAAACAGTAAAAGAAATTTATTAACATTTTTATTAACAAAAAATAATAATTTCTCAATTTTTACATATTTTTTTAGAACACTAATATTTTAGTCCGGATAAAAATAACATACTAGTTTAATCGCAAAAAAATACAAAACAACATGCAAACACATTCAAAACAACTAATATGCATTATTATACGAGTTTCGACATAAACTAAATCGGAATACCTCGATTTATGTTTTTTGGAAAGTCGATGANATACTTTAACGGCCAAAACTCCGTTAAAGTATAGCACTATTTAAAAGAACGCTATATATAAAAAGATCACTCTTTTTTTTAAACACACATTTTTGTCACACTTGTCCAAAAGAACACAAATAGGTTCGGAACTCATACATTATGTACCGGTGTGCTTGAATCTGTCAACGGTGTGCTTGAATCTTTAAACAAGAATATACTAATAGTGACAGTGCTATAAAGAAGATATTGTCAAACGTCCTGGATATACTGTGCATGTCCAAATACTGTTCGTTTCTTGGGAGACTTTAGTAGCAATTATATGGAATCACAAGGAGTATTAGGTTGAGAAATAACAGATAAATAATATATATAAAAATATATTTTAAAATTAAAAATAAAATTTAAAAATAAAAATAAAATTTAAAAAATTAAAATAATGAAAATAAAAAGTTATAAAGAAAATAAATTAAAATATAAACAAAAAGGAAAGAAATTGAAAAGTAATTTTATAATTACAAAGTATAATTAACACCAATTCTCACCTCATCTTAAGAAGTGTAATTACACCTCTCCAATTACACTCAATTCCATGCTATGCTGACCAAATAATTATTTCGCGAGACAAATATATCAAACTTTATAATTACACCTAAATTCAATTTTTATGTGGCTTTCCCAACCGGGTCTAGATTTCTTCGAACACGTAAAAGACAATAAAAAATGTCATAATTATTCAGGATCATAAAGAATATTCTCAAGAGCGAGGTTCTGGAAAAGGTAGTAGTTTTGGCCTAGAATTTATATTTATTTTACGAAAAATGTCCAAATATGCCCTCATACTATACGAAAGAGCACATTTGTCATTCGTTAATAGTTTAGCTTAAATATACCCTTACCGTCACATAGTTGGTCCATATATGCTCTTAGAGTTACACAGTAAGCCCATATATGCCCTTTTCGAAACGAAATCCACCCAAACTAATTAGCTCTTTCGTTAATTGTATTAAAGTGTATTACAAATACTATTTTCTTTTTATTAGTACTTTTTTTCTTTACCTTTCTCTTTTCTTTCATCTTTTTTCTTTTCTTCTTTTTTTTTTTTCCTTTTTCTTTCTCCCTTATCCGATTTTCTCCATTACTGATGTCTTCTCCATTTTCATCACCAATTTCACTTGACAAATCTCATAAATTCCAATTACTAAGAAAATTCTCCCATAAGAATATTTTTATAGATCATATATTTTTCAATTTTTTAATTTTTACTGAACATATATTTAGTTCTAAAAAATTTAACAAAGTAAGATTGAAATAATATTTATGTAATAAAAAATCCGAAAATCCAACAAAACCGTACAATCCAAACCGATATAATTGGTTTGGTTTGATTTTGATAAAAAATCGAACCAACCCGTTCCATGTACACCCCTAATTTACATATATAGTTAATAAAAAAAATAAAAAATGTCCAGCTGAAAAAAGACTAACAACTCAAATTTATAACACTACAACTTGAACTCTAGGCTTTTAATCATTAAATTATCTTTCTGAAAACAATTTAAATATTTTGGTCTTTTGAGTATTGTTAAAGGTTGAGATGTTTTTATTATTTTAAATTTTAAACCATAATTTTTGAAATAATTTAATTTCATTTATTTAGAGGGCCAGTGAAATTGAAACGTGATTACCTTATGAAAGAATTTTCTTAGTAATTGAAATTTATGAGTTTTGTCAAGTGAAATTGATGATGAAAATGGAGGAGACATCAGTAACGGAGGAAATAGGATAAGGGAGAAAGAAAAGGGGAAAAAAAGTACTAATAAAAAGGAAATAGTATTTGTAATACACTTTTATACAATAAAAGAAAGAGCTAATTAGTTTGGGTGAGCTAATTAGTTTGGGTGAATTCCGTTTCGAAAAGGGCATATATGGGCCAACTGTGTAACTCTAAGGGTATATATGGACCAACTATGTGACGGTAAGGGCATATTTGAGCTAAAGTATTAACGAATAGCAAATGTGCTCAATTTCGTATAGTATAAGCGCTTTGGACCTTTGCCCTATATTTTAAAATAATATTTAATATACAAAAATTATTAAGAGCAGTCTCAAAAGATACAAAATTGAGATTAACAAATTTTAAATCCTAAAAGACCGATATCTGACTGTAGGGGTATGCTAAAGTGGAGTAATAATTTTGAGAAGACTTACTACCCCGACGGAGTGCGCACTTTAATCTATGATTCCAGTACCGGAGAGGAGAAAAGTAAGAAGTGGAGCCACTGATTTGCATTTTTGGTTCCGATGCGTTGCTGTTGTCGGTCATCAGGTACCTCAGTATACGGTTAAAACCGATCCTCGGTCGTGAAGGTCGATCGAGGATGGCATTTCAATCGAGGGGTGCCTTCATGGAAATCCCGAGCGTATTTCGAGATTGGGGCGTCGAGCCCGGGCGCTCGATTCGAACGAGGTAACATCGATCGATACAGGTCCCGAGCATTGATTCCCGAAAGTGACCACCTAGCTCGAAATCAAGACCGAGGTTCCGATTCGGTATCGAGCTTGAAGCGGTATCGAGCTCACAGACAAAAGCCGTTACAACCGCACCAAATGAGGGAATCTCTGCGAGAATTAAGGAGGAGACATACCATCATGGGTCCTCCACTAGTAATATTTATTCCATTATGTTGCTATAAATAAAGTAGCAATCCTTGGCTATAAAGCAGGGAGGAGTTTGTAATAGAAGACACTTTGTAGAGGAGATCAAGAATTCTTTGTGTTTATCTTTCTAAGTTCACCTAATATCTTTGTTCATCATCTCCTATTTTCGCAACATAAATACGTGCATTGTTATTCTTATATCAGAAGAATCTACTTGCCCTTAGAACTATATATAAATTCTACTTTATCCGATTTTTCGGGTAAATAGTTTGGCGCCCACCGTGGGACTAAGGATAACAAGTGATTATTTGATACAAATATACAGCACACTCCACCTTACAACTTCATGTCGGCAATGGCTCTCCCAATCGACCTTGAAGCCGGCCTTCAGGATGAAACCAACAACATGATGCCCGTAGCCGAAAGGCTACCCAACAACGTCAACGAGGCTCGAATCGAGGAACCCGAAATTCGAGCCGAAGTACCAGTAGATATCAATTCACGAATAGCTCTAGAAGCGAATCAACGTTCCGAGCAGGAAAGAAGCGTTCAGGGTGGCGCTCGACCCATAGCCCGAGACACCCACAGCACGGGGGAAATCGGGGTCAACTTGCGCATGATTTTTGAAATTCTACAAGCACAACAAGTAGCGATAGCTCAGTTGCAGAGCCAAACTCACATGCGGAGTAATCCAAACTCCAATCCGCTTCTTCGAGAAGTAACCCTAAGAACAGAACCCGACACAGTGAAACCGAACGAGTGAAAATCAGGAACCACTCCTGAAATTGCTCAACTGCTCGAGGAACTAACAAAGCGAGTCGAAGCCAACGACAAAAAATTCGAGACATATGATGCTAGGATCGATCAGATCCCGGGGGCTCCGCCCATGATGAAAGGGCTGGATTCGAAGAAATTCATACAAAAGCCTTATCCATCGAGCGCGGCCCCGAAACTGATCCCAAAAAAGTTTCGTATGCCCGTAATTCTCAAATATAATGGCAAGACTGATCCTAACGAACATCTCACCTCCTATACATGTGCCATCAAAGGCAACGATTTGGAAGACGATGAGATCGAGTCAGTATTATTGAAAAAGTTCGGAGAGACCCTCGCTAAAGGAGCAATGATCTGGTATCACAACTTGCCGCCGAACTCTATCAATTTTTTTGTCATATTAGCAGATTCGTTCGTAAAAGCACATGATGGTGTTGTNGTGAAGGTCGCAACAAGGAAATCGGATCTATTCAAAGTAACACAAAGGGGTGACGAAATACTAAGGGAATTCGTATCCCGGTTTCAAATGGAACGCATGGATTTGCCACCAGTCACAGACGACTGGGCCGTACAAGCTTTCACCCAAGGGTTGAACGAACTGAGTTCGACAGCATCACAT